ACCTCTGGTGCAAATTACTGACCTCTGTCATCATTTTAAGTGGGGGAACTTGCACAATCGGTGGCTGACTAAATACTTTTTTGCCCCACTGTATATTTAAACAAAAGCAGTAGGATAATGTCAGACACAGTTTTCTGTTTTTTTTGTTTTTTTTTTTTTGGTTGGCTTAAGCGACCCTGCACAATACCTGGCCTGGCTCTGCTGGAGGTTTCTTCTTATTAAAAGCATTTTTTTCCCCCTTCCCACTGTCGCCAAAATGCTTGCTCACAGGGGGTCATATGATTGCTGGGTTTTTTCTGTGTGTATTATTGTAGGGTGTACCTTACAATATAAAGCACCTGGAGGCGACTGTTTTGATTTGGCGCTGTATAAATAAAATTGAATTGAACTGAACTGATTGGAAATACTGCTTAAATGTTGTGCTGCGTGTAGCTTTTTTTATACTATAAGAGCCAGAAATTAACACCTGTCTGAAACATGAAGCTGAGTTTCCTTTTGGGGTGTTTGTAAGGAATAATCTGACCAATAATATGGCTGCCTTCAGTCAAGTCATGAACTCTGGGTAGTGACTGGGAGAATGAAACCTAACCAGTAAGGTTAAGTTAACATCTTCTCTTCTATTCAGAAGACCAGAATACCGTCCATGAAGTTTGAGTGGCAGTTTTGTATTTTATTTGGATATTGCTGAGCAGTGACTGAAGTTCTCTAGACATCAACAGCAAGATACTGAAAAGCAAAAGAAAAAAAAAGTTCAAACTTATCATGAATTTCTCATAAAACCAACAAAAATAATGATTAAAAAGAACACAGAAACAAAGATCTTTCATGATTACAGCAAAAACAGAAAATGATGCTCCAGCTTGTTGCTGGTTAATGATTACAGTGTTGACATAAAGACTCACATGGCTGCATGAGATCCAAACATGATAGTACAAGAACTCACTTCAACCATAAACTAACAGCTGACCAGCAGTGGTGGACTGACAGGGATGTTTCTATATGTGCAGACAAACATGGGTTTGTGTTTTAAAGAAAAGCTGTATCCATCTCCTTCAGAGCCAGCAGGATGAGGCAGAGTGTGGCCCCAGGGCCGAGCCAGCAGCAGCAGAGCAGCAGAGGACACGAGCATAAAGGAAACAAAGAGGCACGCATGAAAGCCGCGAGTCCATGGATGCCATCATGTGGAAAGCAGGCCTTTATGCTCACACTGTAAGGAGATGGATGTGTGCGCAATAAGGAGACCTGAAAGCTTGCACACGTGTGCTGCTGTGGCAGTAAAACACAAAAAGGAAGGTCTGATGTTGTGTAAGGAGTGAAAATAAAAACAAAATGACAGAAAGAAATCACCACATGACCTCACAGCATCTCAGTTTATTCTGTTTTTCAGAATAAACTGAAGCATGGATTTGTGTCCACAAAAACCAGCGAGGTCATCTGAGGTAGTGTTAGTCAATGCTAATCCTCACTCCTGTTAAGGGTTATATACAGACACCAAAACAGCTTCTGCATCAGCCTGTCAGTATGTTTATGTTAACAGGACTTTGTGAGGACTGGCTCACAACTGGTGCCTCTGGTGGCCGGCAGAGGAACAGCAGCGGGTGGTTTCAGATGGAATTTCATGGTCGCTGTCCTCCGCAAACAGGTGGGCTTCAGGCTGAGTGTGCAAGCAGGTTGGGCTGTCTCTGTATTAGCAACCAATGCAAGGAGATCACAGATGGCTGACAGTGAGATGTCAGAGTGACAGGAAACAGGAGCAAAGGTTTATAAATCAAGACAAAACAAACTTCATGGAAATAAAAAGTTTTCATGTATCTTCTTCTCCAACACTGAAATACTTACTCTGTTCTGTCCTTGGGCAGCTGTGGCGCTCGTAACCTTTGACCTCTTCATTCACACTGCCTGACAAGCTCACAGGTGTGTACCGGGTGGGAGCGCGCAGGTGAGACGTGGGCTTTTTGCCACAGACCGTCATGTTGTGTTGGAACTGACTTTGATCTTTGAGGTTTTCAGTGACATTTTTAAACCGTCGCTGTTTGCACGTGCACGCGGACTGTCCCCTGCGCAGAAATCCAAATAAATGAAAGTGAATATTAAAAAATGAGATGGTCAGTGCGCGCGCTTTGTCCCCACCGGGGGCTCTCTCCCAGTGAGAGAGAGAGAGAGAGAGAGAGAGAGAGAGAGAGAGAGAGAGCAGCGCAGCAGGTCGAGCAACACTTTTGACGTCAGGGTGATCACTGCTGCCTCTCTCTCTCTCTCTCTCTCTCTCTCTCTTTCTCTCTCTCTGTGTGTATCATCCGGGTCTTCTTCTCCTTTTGTGCGCTTTTCCCGTCCGTTTGGCGCAGACGTGCGGCGGCTCGGAGCCTGAAGAACAGAAGACACTCCACAGATGCGGTCCCTTGAGTAGGAGCTGCAGGAGCTGCGTCTCCCCCGCTGCTCCTCTCTGTGAGTTTCCTGGAGGATGTTCGCGCTCAGGATCAACAAGTCTCTCCTGCTCTGCGCGCTGTAACTGTGGATGGCTGCGGGATGGAGATAGCCTTGGTGAGCTTTGAGAACGGCGGCGCAAAAGGGAGCGGTGGAGGAGGAGGTGGAGGCAACAATGCCGAGGAGAGCTGCCGGAACGCGCTGGATGTCCCTCAGCCGGGCTTCGTTCAAGGCGGGCGGGGAGAGGACTACAGCAAGGAGCTGAACACCCGGGGCGGCCCGCAGCCGCCGCACAGCCCCTGGAAGATCAATGACATGAACAACACTCTGAGCTGCAGCGAGAACGCCATGGATGCGCTTTTACGCGCGGACCACAGTCCCCACCTGTTCGACGAGGACATGCTGGACATGGACATGGATACGGAGAGCAACGAGAGGGTGCTCATCAACATCGCGGGTCTGAGGTACGAGACCCAGCTGGGTACCCTCAACCAGTTCCCTGACACTTTATTGGGAGACCCCGCTAAGAGGATCAAGTACTTCGACCCGCTCCGGAACGAGTACTTCTTCGACCGGAACCGGCCGAGCTTCGACGGGATACTGTATTTTTATCAGTCCGGAGGAAAGATCCGGAGACCCGTCAACGTGTCCATAGACGTGTTTGCGGACGAGATCCGGTTCTACCAGCTGGGGGAGGAGGCCATGGACCGGTTCCGCGAGGATGAGGGCTTCATTAAAGAGGAGGAGAAGCCGCTGCCGCAGAACGAGTTCCAGAAGCAGGTCTGGCTCATCTTCGAGTACCCGGAGAGTTCCAGCCCGGCCCGGGGCATCGCCATCGTGTCCGTGATCGTCATCACCATATCCATCATCACCTTCTGCCTGGAAACGCTGCCGGAATTCAGGGATGAGAGGGAGCTGGCGGTCACCAGCCGTCTGGACAACAGCACGGCGCCCCGGCCGTCGCTCACCTTCACCGACCCCTTCTTCATCATCGAGACCACGTGCGTCATCTGGTTTACCTTCGAGCTCATCGTGCGCTTTTTTGCGTGCCCCAGCAAGTCCGAGTTCTCCAAGACCATCATGAACATCATCGACATCATGTCCATCATGCCTTACTTCATCACCGTGGGCACGGAGCTGGCGGAGCAGCAGGGCCAGGAGCACCAGAACGGTCAGCAGGCCATGTCTCTAGCCATCCTGAGGGTCATCCGCTTGGTCCGGGTCTTCCGCATCTTCAAGCTGTCCCGACACTCCAAAGGGCTGCAGATCCTGGGCCAGACTCTGAAGGCCAGCATGCGCGAGCTTGGCCTGCTCATCTTCTTTCTCTTCATCGGGGTCATCCTCTTCTCCAGCGCCGTGTACTTCGCCGAAGCTGACGAGCCGGAGTCCCACTTCTCCAGCATCCCCGACGCCTTCTGGTGGGCGGTAGTCACCATGACGACTGTGGGTTACGGTGACATGAGGCCGGTGACGGTCGGAGGGAAGATCGTGGGCTCTCTGTGCGCCATCGCCGGAGTGCTCACCATCGCGCTGCCGGTGCCCGTCATCGTGTCCAACTTCAACTACTTCTACCACCGGGAGACGGACCAGGATCAGTCCTCCCTGAAGGACGAGCCCAACAGCGGCAGAGAGAGCCCCGAGCTTAAGCGCAAAGGCAGCAAAGCGTCCGTGAAGTCTCAGGATGTGGAGAACAACGAGGCGGGCGCTTCGGTGGAGAAAACGAACATCAAAGCAAACAGCAGCGTGGACTTCAAGAGATCCCTTTACGCGTTCTGTCTGGACACGCGGGAGACGGACCTGTAGCCGTGCACGAGCACACATGGGCTTAAAGCAGATACAGTCGTGTAGAATAAACCCCGTTAATGGGCTCTTAAGTCTTTGCACATTGCAGTTGGAGGATCAACACATTGCAATCCTGAAAAGTTTTAAGAGGGTTGGTTTATAAAAAGCACACTTTAATCCCCATCATCTGGTAAGCACGACAGTTAAAAGTGCGGAGTTATGAACGAGCTGCAGCGCATGTGATGCAACACAGGGGCCCTTTAATAAAGCAGGGACACCTGCAGAGCATCAAATCTAATTCATGGATGAATTAGAGGGAAGTGGGACATCAGATGCTGCAGATAATCAGGGACAAGCACGACTCGGAATAATTACTTGACACACTGAGAGGATTACCGGGACCAACCAGACTGTGTATATAATGCAGGACGCAGACCACATTCAGTAGTGCAACAACAACAACAACAACAAATAATAATAATAATAATAATTTCCCAACTGTGATGTTTATACTGGCAGCAGACGTGTAAATATTCCCCACAGGCTGCTCTTATTGTAGAAAAACAAAAGTATATTTTTGAGATGCAGACACCTGTTTTCCTTCACTCAGGTTCTGTTTAAATCAGAGAGGGTTTGGGGGGGACCTCAGCCTTGAACTTTTAAATAAAGAACATTTGGGATTTTTTTTAAACTGAAGGAACAACAGCCAAGAAAAGAGGACAGAGCAGAAACCGTCTGGAGAGATCGAGCATCAGCAATACCAGGTGAGAACATGTGAGCACATTTTGACGTTTAAGAGTTTTTATGTAATGACATGCTCAGTAGTGTGCACGTGAGGCACAGTCATGTCGCCGGGAGCTGTCCTTTCAGCACCACGCGCTCCTCTGTATGGAGTCCCATTGATGCCAAATTTCAAGTTACAAAATTCAATTATATCTTAAATTTTATTTTATTTTTGTCTATTAAAAACAAAGCATACAAACTTCTACTCTATGTTATTTAAATATGCACGAATTTTGGTTATATTCATATTGCATCAGACCATAATTACAGTCACCTGAGTGACACTTTAGATTATATACTATACTGCACTTGACAACAGTGGGGGAAAAATCTCCCTTTTAACAGGAAGAGATATGTGTCAGAAACAGGATTAGAGCTTTTTGTTGCCACCTTCAGGCAGCAAGAGAAATTACACAAATACTTTTGAGACAGGGCAAGTGTGGCCCTGCTGATCCTATGAAGAGCTCTGCAGACCAATGTCTACATGTTGTTGTGCTGTACTGTCAACAGGGGGCAGTAGTTTGTTGTTGGTTATGTTGTTTAGCTCCACCCACAGAGAAAACAGAAGTGAAAGTAGAGAAAGAATTTCTTTATGATGGCGTGAAAAGAAATTAATCAGCCTGTCTGAGCTTCTTTTTGGATCTTTCATTATTTTTCGTATTTGTGGTGAATTTTCTTTTCCATGCGCACGTTTCAACCAATCAGCATACTAACCACACATAGTGTCATCATCACCAGGATACTCGCTGTGGATTTTATTTCATTTCATTTCATACTTTTTGGGAGGAATCCCCCTTCTGACCTGTTCCTACAGGAGTGTCTCTATTTAACATCTGTCCAAGAATGAGTCCGAGTTTAGGATCATGTTTCATAACACAGCTAAATTATTTCAAGTGTCCTAAGAAAATAATTGATTATTCAGGCAAACATGATAATTACATCATTACTCCAAATATTTTATGGATCCCAGCATGTTTTTTCCCCCAACATTATCAGCTAATAATACAGCTAATCATTTTCTGGAGTGAACATGGATGTCTTCATCATCATGCTAAAGCTAAGAGTCTGGAAACATTACTAAAATGATTGCAGCTTTCACACAGGTTACATGTGGCTTGGTGCCTTCAGAGCTTAGCTCAGTATCAGAGCCGTCTCTGTACCCATACTGTTATCACAGCATTACAAACTAAGCTGCAAATATGTGACCACGTGTTTGTTTCTTTTTTCTGGAGGAGAAGTGACGTGACAACCATCCATAATGTCGAAGCTGAAACCTTTCACCATGTATGCTTGTATGACTCGAGCATTTTCTGCACTGTGATTGTTAACTGGTGGCTTTTCTTCAATATTTCTAAATCCAGCAAGCTTTAAAGGGGCAGCGTCTTTAACAATCACACATCTTCTAATTAACCTTAAAATCTGGACATCTGTTTGATGAATCACTTTCACAATATCTCCTGGAGGGCTGCGAACTCTAACTAACCCACTGGTGACTGAAGTTGCTAATCCTCACAGGCTTCGTTAGGTCTCAGGCGATGGAGCACAAAGCCTATGACATGTAACCTCTGATGTGTTAAAAACAGAAGACTTATGCTGGGAAAACAAAACGCTGCCTTTGACCTGCTGGAAGGACAAGTTGGAGCTGTTTCAGAGCAGATTAGTGTGAGAGTTACCCCAGAGGAGGGATGTCTTTGTGCAGATATGGGGCAGACTGAACACGGTAACTAAAATCATGACTTTTTTGGACAAATTAACTGTTGAGCCAGAGTCCAGGTAGATTTAAAATTAAAATGACTCCAACAGTTTGTCAGACTTACAGCTTCCAAATGATGAAAAGACACATCACTGTCTTCATGTACTATGACCGGTATTTAAAGATGAATATTAATATTTAATATTTAAAGATGAAGGCAAATATTAAACGGAAAGCACTTTCACTTGTTTTTATTCATGCTCTGCCTTCCTGTCGTTCAGTTGGACTCAAGCTCCCACCTCCCTCAGTGGAAGGTGGGGATTTGTTATCTTTTATTTTTAGTTTGGGTAAAAGTGGCAGTGCACAGATGGAGTCTGCAGGCGAGAAGCCGTCAGCTGTCACTTTGGGTGTTATCTCTGAAGCAGCTGGGAGCTTCCTGCACATTTGTCCTGGGAGACCGGGGAGCGCTGGAGGTTCGATGGGGGCATCTTAATTCACCAAACAAGTCCACTTTAGATATTTATAGAGGTTTTTATCAAAATTAGGAGAGACTGCACATCACAAAATCTGCATCCCTAATTATAAAGCAACTTCCTCCTTTGGCCTGATCCTGTCCAGCAAACAAAAACAGCACACAAAGAAACCACCACATCGTTTAGTTTGAAGGAGGATATGGTCTGAATCGGTCAGTTATATTCAGCTTGTCTGAAGTCGGGTAGCAGCAGCAGGCTAAACAGGATATTTCAGATGTCGCATTCCCCAGCAACACCTTCCAGTTTCTCCTTTGGGATCCCGAGGTGTTCTCAGACCAGAGGAGTTAAATATAATCTCTCCTGAGAGTTTTGGGTCTACCCCGGGGTCTCCTCCCAGCTGGGAGAGCACAGAAAGGCTCTTCATCACGTCTGAACCACCTCAGCTGCTTCCCGCACAAAGAAGCAACACTACGAGATCTGTGTGGATGTCCTAAAGCACATTCAACTGAAAGAACTACTGGCTGTTCATGCATCAGTTTGTGGCTGATGGATGCTTACATAATACTCTATTACATTTCCCACACAGCCTTTAGTTTAGTCAGCAATATCTTGCCTTCTATTAGTAGTTGCGTCTGTTACCTCAAATATCGAGAGCAGTTTAAATCCAAAGCTCCTCATTTCTGTAGCTCACCACTGAACATTCGAGTTCAATTTCACAGTCTGCTCCAGCCCATTCTCACTCCCGACGGAATATACTGATGATTTGTCACGCCCCGAGGCGTTCCATGGGAACGCGAAAGGTGATGGTTTGTGTTCTTATGCTACGTGCTGGATTGTGCATGAAATCAAACAGAATGATGCTCCTGCGATAACACATGTTCCAGCCCTGTATTCCAGCCCTAACCCTAACCTTAACGCTAACCTTAACCATAACTGTTAACCACCACCTTAATCATGTTAGATAGTGTTTTCCAAAGTGATTTAAGTAAAATAAAAGTACATGTGTAGATTCATTCCAAACGGTTCTCATGTTTCCTCATTTTTCTGAACTCGTAATATAGGGACCTGTTGGGTGGCTGAAAGCGTAATATACAGATAATTTGTCACCTAGCGTAAAATTTTACGCTTTGGGAGTGAAAGCGTGTTGTCTGCTCATTTGATCCACACGCTGAAGAAGCAGAGTTCCAGAAAGAAGAAGCTCCTACGTGTTTAGTCAAGTCTTTCTTACAGATGAGTACATGTGAATCTGACGTAACCCAGGTTGGTTTCATTCTATCAGTCACTACCCAGAGTTCACGACTTTAAGGTAGAACTTCAATGTGAACCAAAACTGGAACTTACAGAAACCTCACAGCAGCCATGTTATTGGTCACATGATGTCATTAAAAAAGCTCCAAAAGGCTCCAACAGCACAAACACGGTCCAGAGGTCCAGTTAAAGACAGCTAGCAGTTCATGCCACCAGCATCACCTGTCAGTCCTGTCAGTCAAAGAGGCCAAGCCCCTAATAACGCAAACTTTAACCTTTAATACAATTTTATCTTAAAACTGTTGTTATGAAGGGAGAAATTATCCACAGAGAGAAAACCATTTGTGTATCAGGGTGTAATAATGTTTATTTCGGCTGTGAAGCTTTAACATGGGATTGGGGAATGAGGAACTCAGGAACTGCAGGTTGGTTGCTGCACATCTGAAAATAGCATTTCATTCTAAGCATATTAAGCCCCACATATTATGAATTCAATATGAGACCATATAAGGTAAACTTCAGTTCTCACAGTTCAGCTAACCAATCAGTTGTCCGAGCTTTTCAGGAGGCGATTTTATAGAGAGAATCCAGAAGTGAACTTTCTGCTTCTGGCATCAGAATAAAAAGGTACATTTTTTAAGATTCAAGCTCCACCATTGCACAATGAGCATCTAAATGGTTATTAATGGCTGCATTATCACTTTCTCCATTTCCTTTGTAATAACTTCCAATTTATGAGGCCTTATGATCACTGGCACATCATAACAACTGTCTGTGAGAGACAGCCTGATAAGCAGCTGGAGGAGAAACCCTTCTTTACTTACTGCTTAAAACAACGCTGTCACCGTTTATACCTAATGTTGGCTGCTGATGTTGGGTGAGAACGTTTGGCTCACAGTCATAGATTTGCAGTGAGGGTCGTCCACAGCAAACATAGGGACCATTTCATCAGAGCCGGCTTTGTGCTCGACAGTCGTCATGTAGAAGCAGGAAGGAGACAAAATCAAACTGTGGAGCTGTGGTGTGTGGGGTGTTACTGTGATCTTAGAGCTGTCCGAGATCATCCTTCTCCTGGAATGAAGGACTGTGAAAGTCTGTTTTCTTTGGATAAAATTAGCCTTTGAATTTAGTGTTTTGATGTTCTTCTTGTTAACAGTGCGAGTGAATGAAGTGACCTTTCCTACTTAACAGGCTGAAAGTTCTGGCTGGTATATCTGGCACTGCCTTAGACTGGTTTTCTTCCTATTTATCAGGTAGGACCTTTTCTGTTAGGACTGATAGGTTCTCCTCTAACATTGCTGCCCTAACCTACGGGGTTCCACAGGGTTCAGTTTTGGGTCCATTATTATTTACTTTTTATATGTTTCCTTTAGCTGGCATTATTCAGTCTTTTAGTGATCTGTCTTATCCTTTCTATGCCGATGACATTCCGCTGTATATATGTCCTTTAAGCCTGATCAGCTGGATAGGCTGTGCACCCTAGTCCAGTGCTTAATTCAGGTTTCTGACTGGCTTTCTAACAATTACCTTGTTTTAAACATGAACAAGACAGAGACCATGATCATAG